CGCGGCGCCCGGTGCCCGCTTTCTGCTAGGTGTCCGGCCGCCCGCCCGGGGCCCCTTTTGGAGGTTCGGTCCCCGGAATGCGCCGGCGCCGCCCGCTTAGACTTGGCACCGCTCGCGCGGCCGCGACAACGGGGGCCCGGCTCCAGGTCCCCGACCCCCGCCTGGCACGGGCCCGCAAGGCCGCTGTTTGGCTGCATCTCTGCATATTTATGGTCGCCTGTCACATTTCCTGGCCATGTTTTGTCAGTTCTCAAAGCACTTGGCTAAGGAGCTCGTGGGAGCGTCACAACAGGTGGGGGCGTGGAGAGGAAGCGACGGGCCTGAGGGACGGCCCGAGGAATAGGGCGGTTTTATGCATTTCATGTGCAGGGAGGGGGACAAAGTTTCTAGGCTGCCTTTCGGGGCTAGGGTTTTGGGGGTAGGCTCTGGCTTCCAGCCGCCACCTTGCCCTTCTCCTATCACCCGGACCACGGCTTGCCTTGGAGCCAGACCCTTCCAGCTTTGCGTGTGACTCCGCATTACGAGCGGTGTCGAGACCACCCGCCACAGGGGTCGTGGAAGTGAAGATGCTTGGGCCGGCCTGGGTCCCTGTCGCCCACCTCCCACGTGCTTGGCACCAGAGCACGTGGGTTTGCGGTCTGGCAGCTTGGGAACCCACTTGTGCCTTTAATTACCCTTTAGATTAGCAAGAGGAAAAGGAATTCGTCCAGGAACGTTAAACTTGTCTGGAAACTGCCCTTGACCTAAACTTGAGAGCCAGAGAGAAGCTATAAACAGGTCCGAATGGGGCAAAATCGAGCCTGTATTGATTCATCCGAGAGACCTGAGGGGTTCGACTCTCATTAGCGGGTTTACCTGGTTGCAAACCCCTTCAACCAGTTGAACCAGTTGAGGTAGCCAGTTGTAGGTACAGACTTCAAGTTTAAAACACGAGTGGACTTTGAGTTTACGGCAGGGCCGAAGGACAAGGGTGAGAGACACGCTCCGCGGCCTGCAGACCACGTTTCTGGACATGTCTGTGACCATTGTTCGTGAGAGTTCTCTGGCTTGGTTGTGCTTGGTCAAAACTGAGCCTCATTGAATCAGTCAAAAACAACCACGCTGGTCAAGTATCTTCGGCACCTTTTTTTCTTAACTCTTGTACTCTTCAGTACCTTTTTGAAAATCTAAAACATTTTTTTTTAAAATACATGACCTCTAGTTTTCTATTCTGAAATCCAGCCCCATCAAGGAACTAGGCTTTTATTGCTTGTGTATGTCAGTTCCCATTTACTTTCTGGCCACACTGATTGGTGTATTGCCCTTGTCATGGTAGCCACAGGAGATGGAAGGGAAAGGAAGTCTCGTTGTGGTTGCTGAGGTAGCCAGTTGTAGGTACAGACTTCTCTCGTTTTCTGTTTCAGGACTGAGGAATGACATTCCGTTCCAAAGGTTGTGCCTGTCCTTTTAAATTATCAGCAGAGAGGAAAGTAGCTGCCACATCCCGGCTAATACCAAAGGTGTTCAGGAAATCAAGAGAGGGGGGACGTGCAGCTGTGGGGAAAGCTAAGGGGCTCAGAGCGTCTCAGTGGGGTATTTTCACTGGATCTGCATGATTTTGCCTGCCGAGCTGTGAAACTGCACAGTTTCAAACAAGCCCGTGTTGAAGTCAACATCCCCCAAGGCATTTTTTTAAGCGAACACCAATATAAAATTTTAATTAACACCATTCTTCCTTTGTATGAATAATTAAACAATCAAATAGTTAGTTATATAGGAAAGTTGTTTCCTTTAAATTAATTCCATCCATTGCATCCTATTTGGAATCCAGGAAAGGGATATTTTCAGATACGTGTGCTAAATCTTCCAAATATAAGCTGCAAAGAACCTGAAGAAAGATTTACACAGCATGGAAGAACCACCGCTTTTCTGAAGAAATGAGCAACAGTTAAAATGCTATATTCTTGATATCAGTTTTAAAAAGGAAAGCTGAAGGCTTAAAACCCGTTGCCATCAAATCAATTCTGACTTAGTGACCCTATAGGACAGAGTAGGACAGAGTAGAACTGCCCCCGTAGGGTTTCCAAGTCTGTTCACTTAGCAGACAAGTGCTTTAAGCACTGCACCACCAGGGCCCATTGTTTGAATCTTTACAGAAGCAAACCGCCTCATCTTTCTCCTATGGAGAGGCTGGTGAATTTAGACTGACCTTTTGGTTTCTTTGCTATTCATAAGTTGGTTAGCTGCTGAGTGCTTTAAGCACTGCACCAGAGGGCTCCTTAGATTTATAGTATCCCCGTTAAGAACAATAGTATTTCTGTGAAGCATGGCAACTCACTGTTAAAAAGACACCAGATAACAGTCTGAGTTAAGTTACAAGATAAAAAGATTTTGATGACAATGAGCTAGGGTAATTCAACTTAAACATTAACTAAGTAAATGTGTGATGGTGTATGTCAGTGTAACCCCACACCAGCTGCTAGTGAAAGCACCGCTCCTTTGGTGGAAACCAGTGTAGACAGAGGAAGTGATGAGCATGGAATATGAATTCAGAAATGAGAAGTTTAAAAGTCTTATATGTAAACAGCAGAAGAGGAAATAAAGTCAATGAGTTAAGAAAGCTTGGTTCACAAATAAGAAAATCTATCCAAAGGTATAGTGTTCCACGATGCATAATTACATGGCTATGTACATTCAACTAAGGCTTTGGAAAATTGCTACATGTATTCTTAATTATATTCTTATACTTTCTGCTGGTAATACCTACCTTGTGGCTATTTGCAAAATTGCAAAATACCATTTATTTTTTTAAAAGAGTGGGGTTTAGGCAATTAGTATACAAACTTTTAAATGACTTGCATAACTTCATCCTTCAATAATTGAAGATTCAATAATTGCGATTTTGCAACTAGAACATTGACCCCATTGTGTACGGACCATGGATTTATGCTCCAGAAAATGACCTTAATGCAGCTTATAAACTCACACTGCTTATTGCCCAAACTCAATCACTACCGCCTTCATTATATGAGAGAATTGGCTTAAAATAGCAGTTTTGCATTTTTCCCTCCCAGGAACAGTATGGTGTAGTACAAAGAGTGTCGGGCCAGCAGTTACAAGCGTTGGGAACAGTACTCTGACCACAGGGTTAGCTGTGTGACCCTGGAAAGATAACCACTCTGACTCTCAATGCCATTCAGTGTTAAATGAGGTCAATTACCACCCTGTACAGTAGTTGTTCTGTGTTGTTGAGTCAATTCCAACTTATAGTGACTGCAGGACAAGGTCAGAGTAGAACTGCCCCATATGTTTTCCAAGGCTGTAAATCTTTACAGAAACAGACTGCTGCATCTTTCTCCTGTGAAGAGACTGGTGGGTTTGAACTGCCAACCTTTCGGTTAGCAGCCGACTGCTTAACCACTTAAAAAATACAGTTTCCTTCCCCTCCCACCCTTGTAGTGATAACTCAAAGGAACTCTGGTGGCGTAGTGAATAAGGCATTTGGCTGCTAACCAGAAGGCTGGTGGTTAAAACCCACCAGGCACTCCTTGGAAAGAAGATTGAGCAATCTACTCCAATAGTAACACTGCCTTGGAAACCCAAGGAGGGGTCACTATGAGTTGGAAAAGACTCAACGGCAGTGAGTTTTTCTTTTTTTTTTTTTTCTAGTGGTAACTCAAAGGAGCTCTGGTGGCATAGTGGATAAAGCATTTGGCTGCTAATCAAAAGATCAGTGGTTCAAACCCACTAACCACTCTCTGGAAAAAAGACGAGGCACTCTGCTTCTATAAAGATTTACCTCCTTGGAAACCCAACAGGGTTCACTATGAGTCAGAATCGACTCGATGGCAATGAGTTTGTTTTTTTTTTTTTTTGAGTGCTAACTTAGGTGCTCTGGTGGTATAGTGGTTAAGGCATTTGGCTGCTAACCAAAAGGTTGGTGGTTCAAACCCACCAGGTGCTACATGGAAGAAAGATGAAGCAGTCTGCTTCTGTAAAGATTTTCAGCCTTGGAAATACAAAGGGGGTTGCTATGAGTCAGAATCAACTCCATGGCAGTGGGTTTGTATTTTGGTTTGGAAACTTTAAGGGAGCTCTGGTGACACAGTGGTTAAGATACATCTCACCCCAGGCTTCAGGATTTCTGCATTGTGATCAACTTTTCCATATAGTACCAAGGCACACTTGCGTCTAAGAACACTGCGCTGAGGTGATTTGAAATGACTACTGCTATCGGTGGACCGGGCAATGTTCCTTTCTGTTGTACAGAGGGTCGCCGTGAGTCGGAAGTGACTCGATGGCACCTAAAAACTGCTATAGGTAACTTTGGAGGAGGGATTCCACCACTGAGCAGAGTGTCTCTGCATTTCTCAGCTGAAAATGTATTTCAGCAGGCCGTGACTTCTGTGTTCTGACCCATGAGTGCCACACAGGTCATTCACAAAACACAGCCCTGAATGTAATTCATTCCCCATGTTGTCGTCACAGAGAAAAATAAGAAGTGACATCTTTTAAAACATCTGAGCAGCTTGGCAGCTGCTGTTGGAAAAAAATAGAATCTGCTACTGGGCCCGGAACAAAGCTGTGTACTAAGTGCCTGTGTATGAATTTATTGAATTCTGGGTTCCAGT